CTAAACCCTAAACCCTTCTTACTAAGTCCCATGATCCTTTAAGTACGACTCCCAGGCCACTATTTCAAGGCTGACGGCTCCTCCTCCGGCCCGTGCTTTTCCCGCCCTTCCCTCCCTGAAATTCCGAAACCTCAAACTCCCTACTATAGACGACAGTTAGCAGATATCTTGAACCCTGAACCCAAAGCCCGAAACCATCAACCCTATAGACCCTAAACCCTAAACCCTATAGACCCTAAACGCGAAACTCCAATCCCCACACACACACACACACACCAGGCCCGGAACAAAGGTGGCGCCTCGGCTAGGTTATTGAAGGCGCGGTAGATCAGCACGGGCCTGTCAACCACTGGGGAGCTCACAAAGTTGGCGAGGTTTAGGGTTTAGGGTTTAGGGTCTTCGAGATTGCAATGATGCACACCCTAAACCCTAAACCCTAAACCCTCAACCATAAAGTATCTTGTGCAGCCCCACAGGACAGTGAGCCTAGGCAAGCCAAGGACCACTTCCCCAGGCCCTCCCTTTCGGACTACGGAAATTCAAGGATGAGGGTCTGGGCTCTGCTGGGGGGTTTAGGGTTTAGGGTTTAGGGTGCCTGGTCTACGTGGGTAGTTCTCTAAATTTGGGTCCTTTTTCAGGTCCCCAATTTAGTGCGGCACCCTTAATCAAAGGACCGTAAAGGAGACAGAACTAATGTAGGAACCTGATTAAGAAACCCTGGCCCCATAACCCCAATATATTAGGGTTCATATTAAGAACCCTAATAAAGGCCCAGAGTTTCTTGATCAGGTTCCTACATTACCCATGTAGGTGTAGCAGCTGTTAGATGTTGGCACCTTTGGAGGGTTCCAGGGCTTCGAAGGTCCGTGGCTTCGGGGATCCAGTATCGTCGACGATGTAGGGCGACGGCGTTAGATGGTCTATTTGGAGGATCATGGGACTTAGTAAGTAGGGTTATAAGTCCCTCAATTGGGGTTATAAGTATAGTTACCCTACTTATAACCCTACTTACTAAGTCCCATGATCCTTTAAGTGGTCTGGAGGCTCCGCTGCCAGAACTTCGACCCTGCCGACTGAGAAACCCGGTCAGACCACTGTGGCGTATTTTGCAGACCTTGTGTTCAGAGTCTCGCCGAAGTTGAAACTCGGAAACAACCCTTGTAGATCCGGGAAATTATGTTATGTTTAGAAATCTGTTCCAATCACAAAAGCCCCTAGCAATAGAGTCACTGAATTCTATAACATAGGGGCCTCATTAGTTACCTATACTATTTTTGTGGGGGGCGGTCCTTACTATAGTTACAGTATAATGGGCCCCAAAACCCTAGTCTAATTATGAAGGCCCCCTATATTAGATCCCTCGACCCCAAAACCCTAAACCCTAAACCCTAAACCCTAGATCCCTAAACCCTAAACCCTAAACCCTAGATCCCTCTTGGTTGGATGTCAGACTTGGGGGTTTCCGAAAATAGGGGACCCTAATATAGTACCCCAAATAATAGGATCCTTATTATAAGGACCCCAAAATAAGGTACCCGTATTTTCGGAAACTCCCACTTGCCTCCCCCTGACCAGCACGATCAGAGTGGGCCCCTCATCCTCGGGGTCCACCTCGACGAACTCAGCGCAGACCTTTGCCATGCGGAGCCTTTGGTCTAGGGTTTAGGGTTTCGGGTTTAGGGTTTAGGGTTTAGGGTTTAGGGTTTAGGGTTTAGGGTTCATGCGAAGCCTTTGGTCTACAGTAGAAGCCCAAAAGTTGGAAACCCAATAGCCTCAATCCTGTTTAGGGTTTAGGGTTTAGGGCTTAGGATAGGGAATCCCAGCACTGTTTGTCCTTAATCCGGTTTCCAACTTTTTGAGGTTTACTATACAGGGGTCCATGGTTTTGGATTTAGGGTTCAAGGCTTTGGATTCCGGAAATTGGGTTCAGGGTTCAGAATGTAGGGTTTGTAGTTTAGGGTTTAATGAAAGTCGCAAGGCAGGCGCCGGGTAGAATGAAAGATCTGCAAGACATGCAGAACCCTGCCCCCCCTTAAACACTAAACCCTAAACCCTAAACCCTAAACCCTAAACCCTTAACCCTGCCCCAACAGACCCAAAGCATGTCAAGAACTGTGAGGATGGGTCTTGGCTTCTGCGCCGTTTCGGTTCCCTAAACCCTAAACCCTAAACCCTAAACCCTAGCACCACGAAATCAAGAAACGGAATAGAGATGAATAGTGCAGAGCAATGCACAGGCTCGAAGAATCAGGCTCAGATTTTTGGGAGGGGGTGTAGCTTTAGGCCAAGCATTCTGAACCCTAAACCCTCAACAGAAGAGGAGGGCATGGGGGTTGCTGGGTTTAGGCACCAGGGTTTCGGAGGGCTTCGTGCCGGAAGTTCCTCGCAGCTGGACCCTAAACCCCTGAACCCCTAA